GGAGTAAGGTATAGAACTCCGGAGTTAGCATTCAATCTTGCCGGTTCTCTACTATATTTACTCCCCCTCCCCCACCTCCTCCTTCCTCCTCCACTTCTCTTCTTTTCTGAGACAGGGCAACACAGAGCCCAGGCTAGCCTTCAACTCATTATATAGCAGAAGATGACCTTGAACTTCGGGTCCGCCTTGCTTCCACTCCTGAGTGCTGGTATTTCAGTCACATCCATCACACCTAGTTTTAGAGGTGCTGGGAGATCCAGCACAGGGCTTTTTGCATGCAACTAAGAAACATGCCTAGCCCCACATTTTCTTTTCTTCACCTCAGGGAACACAAAAGCTCTGCCTTCGGATCATTCCTTCTCCCCCTCTTCACCTGCCCCAGCAGCCTAGTGCCTACAGAATCCAATCCATGCATACCACCCACTCCCACCGAGCTTCAAGCATGTTCTCTTTTTTGCACGTGTGTTCCTCTTCTCATCCTTCACTGTCTATCATCTTGGTGTATGTGCCTCCAAACATCTTGAGGTTTGTTTTGTTGTTGTTGTTTCTGTTGTTTTTTTCTTTGCTTGCTTGCTTGTTTGTTTTTCCAAGACAGGGTTCCTCTGTGTAGCCCTGGCTGTCCTGGAACTCACACTGTAGACCAGACTGGCCTGGAACTCACAGAGATCCACCTGCCTCTGCCTCCTGAGTGCTGGGATCAAAGGCATGCACCACCCTCACCTAGTTACATCTTGAGATTTTATTGGCCACAGATCCACCTTGCTGCTGCTGTTCTTTGGCCTCCAGCAGCATTTTGTCAATTGGTTTGGGATTTGTTGTTGGTTGAATTTTTTTTTTTCTCCTTGGTGAGGAAGAAACAAGAAGCTCCAACACTGCAATTTTGTTTCTGAGAGATTCTGTATCTTCAGGACAAGGAATGAATGGTCTCATATGCCCCATTGAGTCCTGGGTCTCACACACAATAAGCATTGCCTCCTTGATAGTAAATAAATAGGAGAATAGAGATAAGACAAGAGAGAACAGAGTTTGTGTTTAGGGACAAGGCACTGTTTGACTAATGAGGACCTTGAGAGTATCTGCCTTGCTACATGTGTTAAACATTTGCAATCTGACTGTTCCACAGGAAGTACACATCCTTCTCCATCTACTACAGACATTTCAAAGGGCCACACTCCGGGAACAGGTCTCCTTGGGTTTCTGTCAGAGAGGCAACTTGGTTTGGTAAGGAGGACAGACGCCCAGGAGAAGGAGAGTAGCAAAGGGTAGAGGAAATAGTTTAGGGATACTGCCTCCCTTTCTGGTAACTTTTCCTCAGGGCTATTGACTTGACCTTAAGCCAATGGTTCTCAAGTTTCCTAATGCTGTGACCCCATAACACAGTTCCCCATGTTGTGCTGACCCTCAACCATAAAATTATTTTCATTGCTACTTCATAACTGTAATTTTGCTACTGTTATGAATGGTAATGTAAATATCTGATGTGTAGATGGTCTTAGGTGAGCCCTGTGAAAGGGTTGTACAACCCCCCAGAGGGGTCTCAACCCACAGGCTATGTTCAATCTTTCTTTCTTTTTTTCTTTTTTTGCCTTGCTGGGATGACAAAGACAGACAGCATCCTTCTGACACTTGCTTGTTTGACATTGGAGACTGAATTTGGAGCCCGAGTTCCTACCAATATTTTGTCATTGAAAGGATTCTTTCTTTCTTTTTATTTTCTTGAGACAAGGTCTCACTGTGTCACTGTATAGCTCTGGCTGGCCTGGAATTCCAATGTATACCAGGCTAGCCTCACATTCACAGAGATTTGCCTACCTTTGCTTCCCAAGTCCTGGGAGAAATGTATGTACCACCACATCCAGCTGTAGATCATATTGTCTTTATTTCTTACATATTTTATTTATTAATTTTGCCGGACATGGGGCACACATGTGCCAACAAGCACATTGAAAGTTAGATAACTTGTGATAGTCAATTCTCTCCTTTCACCATGTGGGACCCAGGGATTGAACTCAGGTTTGCTGGGCTTGATAGCAGGTGCCTTTATCCTATGAGCAATCTCACCAGCCCCTAGATCATATTTCAACCTAAAGAGAAAGAGGGTGCACCATCTGTCTTTTCTGGTTGTCTCTGGGTATTTGTTTCCTTACAAAAGTTTGGGCGAGTCACAAGGATCAGCACCAAAGGATGGACGAGTGGCTTGCTTCTGCCCCCTAGAGGACACTGAGAAAGAAGCTGGGGAGCTAATCAAGTGCTCAGAGATCCCTTCAAAAACAAGAATTAAAACCCTCCATCTAAAGACACCATCATTTATTTCAGGAAAGGGAGGCAGGCTGGAAGCAGGTTGGGGTTATCTGGACCAAAAGTGAGAACACCACATCAGGGCAGACCCATAGCAGAAAGGGAACACTCTGTTAGTTTTGGTTTTTTTGAGACAGGTTTTCTCTGGGTAGCCCTGGCTATCCTGGAAGGAATTCTGTAGACCAGGATGGCCTTGAACTCACAGAAACCCACCTGTGCCTACTTCCACTAGGATGTGCCACCACTGTCCAGTCAAATGTATATTGCTGAATTTGGGGTTTCTGCGTCATACTATTCTGGCTTCACAGACCAGACACAGGAAGTGTTTAGTTTTTTTTTTTTTTTTTTTTTTTTTTTTTTTTTTTTTCTTTCTCTGAGTCTGTAAAAGTCTAGTGTTATACTGTATGTTGGAAGATTTCAACAATGAAGCCCTCTCTTTTGATGCTTATTGGGAAGGGGTTGGCACACTCATCTTTACACAAGCCCCAGATGGTTCTTTTTTTTTTTTCTTTCTTTCTTTTCGATTACTTTATTTTATGTGCTTGAGGGCTTTGCATGTGTAGCGTGTGTGTATGGTGCCCACAGAGGTCAGAAGAGGGTACAGAATCGCCTGGAACTAGAGTTAGGGAAGATGGGTTGAGTTATCCTGTAGGTACTAGGAAATGGGCCCTGGACCTCCTCTTGAACAAGTTCTCTTACCATCTCTGCATCTCTCCAGGCTGTCTGCTCCCCAACACTGTTTTACCAGGGCAAGGTGGGAACCACACACACATCATTCGTTCATCTTACGAGAACTACAAGAACACCTCTCATCTACACATTTACGGTAGCCTGTGGTGTACCTGAGGGAGCTGAGCCTAGGTCCCTGTCCTAGTGAGGATGGGTCAGTCGCATTACCTCATGTGAGAGACTTAGCTTGCTAACTGAGTAAAAGAGTCCATTTTCAAGATGCTGTGGGAGCCCAGCGGCTACACTATGCTTGCAGACATGACTTCACTTGCTGTCTGTTCAGACCTAGTTTCCTGGGCTGGAATACCACAGAGTGTATTCTCTAAGCCCCCTTTCTGCTCCAATCAAATCTCTTCCTGCCGAACCTAAGCCCCTCCCATCTCCCAGGGAGGCCTCTGAGAAATTTGTTCAAGTGACCTTCCTAAGATACTGGTCTCCATACTTGTGCAGTTTTACCTCCTACCAAACAGCGCCTGAAAATTCCAGAAGGTGCTGGAACCTCTGTCATGCCTGGTCCCCTAGGCTTAGCATTTCAGGTGTCCCTGTCGTTGGCATTCCCAGCCATTCTATAGAAACCTTCTTTTCACTGCTGTCTGGGATGGAACGTGGACTTTCATTTCAGAGGAGCCCTGGGAAGAAAGTAGAGTTGACTGAAAAGGGAAATTTTCAGGCAGTGGTGGCACACACATTTAATCTCAGAAGGCAGAGGCAGGCACATCTCTGTGAGTTCGAAGCTGCATAGAGTGAGTTCCAGGACAGTCAGGACTACTCTGTCTTGAAAAACAGAAACAAAAACACAACAACAACAACAAAAAAGGAAAATTTCTAGAACCCAGAAATCTTGAGATCTGGAGTCCATCAGGCCAGGCTTCAAATCCTGGCTCTGTTACTTAATAGCTGTGTGATTTGGACCGTGACTCACCCACTCTGAGCTTGGTTTCCTCATCTGCAGAGTGGGCATAAAAACAATGTCTAGGTCCGGGCGTTGGTGGCACACGACTTTAATCCCAGCACTAGGGAGGCAGAGGCAGGCAGATCTCTGTGAGTTCAAGGCCAGCCTGGTCTACAGAGCGAGTGCCAGGATAGGCTCCAAAGCTACACAGAGAAACCCTGTCTCGAAAATCAAAAACAAACAAAAAAACAAAAAAACAAAAACAAAAAAAAACAATGTCTAAATGCTGTGGGAACCAGAACACTCACGTTGTGCTTGCAGACAAAGTGGCTTTACTCACTTTCTCCAAACCTCAGAGTTTTCTTGCTTTTTGTTTTTGTTTTTTGTCTGTGATAATCAGAGGATGTGGGCACACACTCCCAAGCTCCCCTTCTACTCAGATTCCAGAGTGTCTATTTGTAGATTCTAAGCACCTCCCCACCACCAGCATTTGGGAGACTAAACCAGGGGAGACTTAGGATTTTGAAGTCATCCTGGGTTACATGACAAGAACCTGTTTGAAATATCACACCCACAAGCATTCACACTTACATACATACTCACACACTCACAAATACACTCACACTGTGGAGGTTTCAAAGACAATGGCCCCCAAAGGGAGTGGCACTATTAAGAGGTGTGGCCTGTTGGAGTAGGTGTGGCCTTGTAGGAGGAAGTGTGTCACTGTGGGGTGGGTGGGTCTTGAGATCTCCTTTGCTCAAGCTACACTCAGTGCAGTGCATAGTTCACTTTCTGTTGCCTGTGGATCAAGATGTAAAACTCTCAGCTCCTTCTTCTCCAGCACCATGTCTGTCTGCCTGCATGCCATCACGTTCTGCCATGATGATAATAGACTAAATGTCTGGAACTGTAAGCCACCCCAATGAAATGTTTTCCTTTATAAGAGTTGCTTTGGTCATGGTGTATCTTCACAGCGATATAAACACCAACTAAGACACAGACACATACTCACAAACACACACAAACACACACACAGACTCACATGGACATCAGAGGACAGTTTCTGTAGGATTTGGGTCTCTCCTTCTACCACGTGGGTTCAAGGATGGAAACAGGTCCTCAGGCTTGTAGGCAGGTGCCTTTATCCACTGAGCCATCTCAAAGGACCCCATCTGTCTTTTTCCTGACAAAGACTCTCCCATGATTTCTTTGCTTCACAGGAAGGATACATACCACAGATCTGTCCTTTCCACCCTGTCTCAGAGCAGAGACATCCAAATAGATAAGCCCTAAAAGTGTCATTTCTTCAGCCAATCAAACAAGGCCCTCTGACCACATCCACATGGGTGTGTCTGCTCCCATCCATAAATTCGTACTTCCAGGCCTGGAACTGTACACAGCCACTTTGTTGGGTGTGCTTGTCCAGTCCAGCTGACTTATCCGGTCCCTGTTTAAAAGGAGGAGTATGGATTGAGGAAAGAAATAGATAAGAAACAGAAGATAGAGTTGGGCAGGCATCCAGTGAATACTAGGATCAGCCCCAAGTTTATTGCTCAAAGTTCTTATATACCCCAATCAAAAGGGGGCAAGGCAAAAGACTTCCTTACCACTATACAAGGAACAAACAAATATAATTACCTCCTTAACACCCAAAACACTGAGTAACCACAGCCTAAAACAAATATCCTGTTGTTAAGGTAAGACATCCATTAACTACACCTTAGGCCAAATATCCTGTTGTCTAGGCAAAACACACAATTGCCACACCTTAGGCCAAACACATTGTAGTTTAACCTTGAAGGAGCAATAATAGGCTCAAACTCTCTGACCTTATGTGAAGATAGAATGTAGCCACTTTTATGAACCTCCCCAGGTGCTTGGCTGCTTAGAGCAGAGAGTACCAGCCCATTTCTTTTAGCTTCTTAGGTAAATGTGTGAAACCTCCAATAAAGTAAATAAAACTTCTAACTGGGACTTGTACCACACACACTCACACACTCACTGGTTAAAATGATTCCAGGTCTTTTTGTTAGTCTGACACTCCCAGAAGTCATTTTCTTTGTGGGTGTGGCCATCTTCACCTCTGACTTCCTCTCTGAAAGTTAATAAAAATGTCAGTGATGGACCAAATCCAGGGGATGCTGGCAGCCCTTACAGAGGCACAGATAAAGCACAGCCACACCCCTTTCTCACACCAGGTGCCAACACTGCAACCTTTAAAGCAAACTTTTCTCATGAGCCAGAACTAGCAAGAGAAACCAGAAAGGCCGGGAGTAGATCCAGAGAGGCTGATTTGCTAACTTTTCCAGAGACGAGTCACTCACTCACTCGTCCAACATATACAAACAAATGGCAGTGCTTTGTTGTTGTTTTTTCTTAACTAGGAGACAATTCATAGATCATAAAATTCATCATTTTAAAGTTTACAAGTCAATGTTTTGAGTATGTTCAGTCCGTAGTGGATCATCACTACACTCAGGTTCTTAAGCATTTACGTCATCAAAGGAAGCCAGTAGCCACTAGTAGTCACTCCCTGCTCTCTCCTGTCTCTCCCTGGCACTTCCCTCCCCAAGTCTCTGGCAACCAGTACTCTACTTTCTGTCTTTATAGAGTTGCATGTTTGGAAGTTGCATGAAATTGCAATCATAAACTGTGTGATATTAGCTGGGCAGTGGTGGCACACACCTTTGATCCTAGGACTTGGGAGGCAGAGCAAGGCAGATCTCTGTGAGTTAGAGGCTAGCCTGGTCTATAGAGTGGAGTTCCAGGACAGCCAGGGATGCATGTCTCAAAAAAAAAAAAAAGTGGTATTTTGTATCTGGCTTGTTTTCCCTTAGCATAATATTTCAAAAGTCCAGTTGTGTTTGTGGTATGTACTAGCATCACCTTAATTGTCTTGGACATTGTCTTAGTTACTTGCTCTGTTGCTATGAAGATACCATGACAAAGGCAACTCTTATAAAGGAAAACAACTAATTGGGGTTTCCTTACAGTTTTAGAGGGTTAGTCCATGATCATTATGGGGAGAAGCAAACAAACATGGCACTGAAGTAGTAGCTGAGAGCTTTAAATCCTGATCTGCAGGCAGCAGGCAGAGAGGGGAGAGAGAGAGAGAGAGAGAGAGAGAGAGAAACTGGGCCTGGTATGGGTTTTTGAAACCTCAAAGCCAACCCCCAGAAATATGCCTCCTCTAAAAAGGCCACACCTTCTAATCCTTTCCAAACAGTTCCACCAAGCAGGGACCAAGCATTTAAACATATGAGCCTATTGGGATTGTTTTTATTCAAACCAATGCAGATATATACCATGAGAAAAACTACTGGGCCCACACGGTGTTTCTCTATTTAACTGAGAACCTGAAAGGCTATTTTCACCTCTGCCCTGCTGCTACACTGAAATGGTGGCCAGACAGGCCTGGTCAGTGCCTGTTGGAGCTTGGAACTCAGCATGGGAGGGAAGCATGAAATAGACAACTGCAGAAGTTGGTGAGTATACTTTCATAAAAGCCAGGAAGGAGTGAGTAGTAAAGGCGGCATTGAGACTGTCCTGTAAGAAAACCAGTCTGAGGGAATGGGTGGTATCCTAGTTTTCTTCCTATCCCTGCAATAAAGATTATGAGGAAAAGGAATGTGGGGAAGAAAGGATTTTCTTTATCTTACAGCTTACAGTCCACTGGAACAGAAGTCAGGGCAGGAACTCAAGGCAGGAGCCAAGACACAGGAGCTAAGGCAGAGGCCACAGAGGAGCACTGCTCACTGGCCTTCTCAGGCTGCTTTCTTATACAACCCAGGAGCACCTCCCAGAAGTGATACCACCCACATCAAGCATTAATGGAGAACATGCCCCAGGGACTCGCCTCCAACCAAGCTAATAGAAACATTTCCCAACTGAGATTGCCTCTTCCCAGATGACTCTAGTTTGTGTCAAGTTAACAAAATACTAAAAAGCACAGATGGGGTTCTGGGATAAATGCAAAGGCACTCTGGAAACATCAGTCCCAAGGCTAGATGCCACAGCAAAGAAAACCAAACCCAATCAACTAACATGAAGGACTTCTAATTTAGTGGTTTTCAGAAAGTTCCCACCATTTGAGGGCAAATAACTCTACCTAGGAGCTCTGAAAATCTTTGAAGTAATTTATGGAAATGTTTAGACATGGAAACATGAGTCAGAAATGGGGCATAGAGTATGAGAGTGATTATTATAGTGTGATGTTTTTGTTGTTTGGGATTGAACCTGGATGCTAAGCAGGTGCTGTGTTCCTACCACTGAGCTACACACCCGACCCAAAGATGTCAATTGAAGAGCTTCTTATGCTGATGTGCTCTCTGTTGCTTGTTGTAAAGGGCTCCAGGCCACATGTCACTTTTAAGGGCAAAGAGAATTGATTCCCTTCTTCCTGGCCCTCCTGTCTCCATCCTGAGACCTGTGCAGCTGTAGTTCCCTACAGCTGTTCCCAGCATTCACTGTGAAAGCATCTTCCATCATTTAAAGCATCAATGAATTGTTCCAGTTATCTCAGGGAGGAAGGACACTCAGAAAATGTTAGCCTTCTCCCAGTGGCATGAAACACTGGTTTGGCCTCAGAAATTAAGTTGCTAATTTTCTTTTGTTTGTGTGTTTGGTTTTTGAAGGGTCTCACTATGTAGCACTAACTGTCCTAAAACTTACTACTGAAAGGAAAATATTAATAAAGGTCTAAAACTTAGACTCCAAAGCCTATATAGGAAAAAGAAAATTTCCAAGCCTCTCTGAGTTCCCAAAAAGGCAGCCTGACAGATAAGGCTAAACAAAGAACTGGGTACAGAGGCCTGGGAACAGATAACATCCCCGAGCTGTGTCAACATTTCTCTGTCCTAAAGAAGATCAGAGGGGCTGGAGAGTTAGATGGCTCAGTGGTTAAGAGCACTGGCTGTTCTTCCAGAGATTCTGAGTTCAATTCCCAGCAACCACTTGGCTTACAACCATTTGTAATGAGATCTGGTGCCCTCTTCTGGCCTGCAGGTATACATGCAGACAGAAAGCTGTATAAGTAAAACAAACAAACAAATAAAAAGACCAGATAGTTGTCAACTCGATAGTGTAAAAGTCCCTGCCTACCTAGGAGATAATCAACAGACTTATTTCCTCTACAGCTTCCTGCTTAATTGCATCCTGCCTAAACATACAGTTATTGTTTTATCCTAAGTAACCACAAAAACTTTGTAATCTCAAGATATCCAGTCTTTTTGAGCTTTCCCCTTTAAAAACCTCCTCAGCCAAAAAGCAGCACTCTGCTTGTTCCCAAATGGGCAGGTCCAAATTGCAACTGGTAATAAAGACAGCTTTGTTTTTGCATTCGGTGTGTCTCTTCCCCGGTGATGGATTTTTGGGGTTCTGCGATCTGGGCATAACACTATATAGACCAGGCTGGCCTTGAACTCACAGAGATAAACCTGTCTCTGTCTCCTAAGTGCTGAGATTAAAGGCGTGAACCATCATATCTGGCAGACTGTACTTATTTACTTATTTATTATCACTTTTTTTTTTTTTGCACCTAAAGTTTCTAATTTAAAATTGGTATTTGCTGGGTGGTAGTGGCACACACCTTTAATCCCAGCACTTCGGAGGCAGACTCAGACAGATCTCTGTGGGTCTGAGGCTAGCCTAGTCTACAGAGTAAGTTCTAGGATGGCCAGGGCTACTTGGAGAAACCCTGTCTTAAAAGGAAAAGTTGGTCCTCTTAAGGACCAAATACTAGGGTACAATGATGAAAAAAGAAACATATGTGGCCTCTAGCTCCTTTCCCCAAGTGTGGGAAATGGTCAACAAGCTGAGAGGCCTATCATACACTGTAACCAGAGGTTCTTTGTCCTGTCTTGGTCCCACCGCCTTTCTTAGCCCCAAATAAACACACAGATGCTATATTAGTTATAAAACTGTTGGCCGGCTGGAGAGATGGCTCAGGAGTTAAGAGGTCTTCCAGAGGACCCAAGTTCAATTCCCAGCACTCACATGGTGGCTCACAACCATCCATAATGAGATCTGGTGGCCTCTCCTGGTCTGCAGACAAAACACTGTATACATAATAAATAAATAAGTCATTTTAAAAAAATGCTCGATTCAGCAGCACATATACTAAAATTGGAACGATACAGAGAATATTAGCATGGCCCCTGAGCAAGGATGACATGTAAATTTGTGAATCGTGGGCTGGAGAGATGGCTCAGAGGTTAAGAGCACTGACTGTTCTTCCAGAGGTCCTGAGTTCAATTCCCAGCAACCACATGGTGGCTCACAACCATCTGTAATGAGATCTGGTGCCCTCTTCTGGCATGCAGGCATATATGGAGGCAGAATCTTGTATACATAATAAATAAATAAATCTTTATTTAAAAAAATTTGTGAATCGTTCCATATAAAACAATAAAAATACAAAATAAAACTGTTGACCGATGTCTTAGGCTTCTTATTGGCTAGCTCTGTCTTAATTATTAATCCATTTTTATTAGTCTATGTATTTCTACATGGCTTTACTTTACCAGAGAATGCCTGGATTGTCCTACTCTCTTGGGCCCCACATGGTGACTCTGTGGCAGGCTCTGTCTGCCTACCTTTTCCAGAATTCTCCTTGTCTCCTAGTCCCGTCTATCTTCCTGCCTTATTGGCCAACAGTGTTTTATTCATCAACCAACAAGAGAAACATGCATACAGAAGGACCTCCCCCATCAATACAGAGGATAGCAGGTGTTGGACAGGGTCACTTTTGACCAGTTGCTCCTGACTGGTGTGGGTTTCCTGAGGCCACAGCTTGGAATCTCCTCTGAGGTCTCTGGGATGGTAGGACTCTTTCCTCACCACCTCCTTGATCCCTTCCTATCAGATGTGGCTGCAGCGGTTTGCCTTCCAGTTGTCACATCATTGGCTCCTCTTTTTGTTGTTGTTGTTGTTATTTTGTTTTGTTTTTTGTTTTTTCGAGACAGGGTTTCTCTGTGTAGCTTTGGGGCCTATCCTGGCACTCGCTCTGGACACCAGGTTGGCCTCGAACTCACAGAGATCCGCCTGCCTCTGCCTCCTGAGTGCTGGGATCAAAGGCATGCGCTACCACAGCCCAGCCATTGGCTCCTTTTTATGCTCCCCATCTCTGTGTTCTCATGGGAATCTTCAGAGCTTTCGTTCCCTTGAAGGGACCAGACCCTCACCCAGCCACCTGCTTTTAGCAGCCATTACAGGCTGCAGAAAAGACACAGTCCGATAGATATAGACCTCTAACTCAGCAACATGTGCTGAGCTTCCTGACCTTGCCTTACCTCCTTAGTCACTAGGAAGCCAGATACCTCCATGTGGCAAGGAACCAATCAGAAGTTAGCTGACAGATTCTGGATGTGCTTTATGGTAACAGTGATGGTACAGAACATAGCAACATCCCTGGGAGGGCCTATAGGCCATAATAACCAGCTGACCAATCAACACCGGCCAGGTCGCCCAAGCCCGAAAGTGCACCAATCCTAAGACTGTTTCAGACCCCAGACACTCCCCTTGCTCCACCCTAATAAATTGGAGGGTGGACCACCCTCGGTCCCTCCAAGTCCTTCTCACTCAACCTGCTGTGTCAGACAGACAGAGGAACCGAGTTAATACAGTTAACTCATTAATTAATTAAAGACTGTTTTTTGCATTGGATTGGGTCTCTTGAAGGATTTTAGAAATTCACAGGGCCTTTTCATTATTACTGTCCAGCACATTTGCATACTGACACGTGCATGGCACATCCATGAGGAGGCTGCTGTGGGCTTTTGATAGGAGAGATGGGACAGCTGAGTCCTTCTGCAACAGTGAGGAAAGTTCTGCAAGAACTGTCTTATAGTATCCTATGGTATCTATATCTCTAACTATGATGCTCTGAGCCTTAAGATCAAACTTCACACCACACACAGCTCTGGTAGGAATGGAAGTGCCATGGAGACAGAGGGAGCACTGACCTCATCTTGTGAAGAATGTTGCAGAGTCATCAGTTTGGGGGGAGGGTGCTCCTCCCCGCCCACAGCAGTTCCTTGGCAGTCTCGACTCACAGTGCTCTCATTTAAAGTGATCCTGTGTATAGCCACGGGATCTCCAACTGCTCCCCTTTTTCCGTGCAGACTGGAAACTCATATTGAAAAACTCAATATTGTGGATCTCTACAAGTTTGAGGCCGGCCTGGTCTACAGAATGAGTTCCAGAACAGGCTCCAAAGCTACACAGAGAAACCCTGTCTCAAAAAACCAAAGGAGGGAGAAAGAAAGAAAGAAAGAAAGAAAGGAAGGAAGGAAGGAAGGAAGGAAGAAAGAAAGAAAAAGAAAGAAAGAAAGAAAAGATATAAGCCAACCTAAAGCTGGGCATTCATAAGTAAGAATACGTGTCTGTGTATTTATTTGGGAGCTGGGTGGCAGCCCCCAAAGAGCAAAGAGTAAGGAAAAAAAAAAAAAGCCAACTACATGGGCCTCATCCATCCATCCATTCTGTCAAGGCAAGGAATGAATAAACAGAGACTGACCTCCCTGAGGAAATCTGATCATGCCAACAACAGTCTTTGACTTGAGCTGCAAGATTAGGCCTGTGAGTCTCCTGCCTGCAAGTTCACATTGAGGTCTGTGGACTTGCCAGCCTCCAGGATAGCATGGATCAGTTCCTTAAAGTAAAACTTGTTCTTGTTCCCTCTCTCCTCTCTCTTCCTCCCTGCCCCTCCCTCTCCTCCCCCTGCCACCCCTCCTCTTCCCATTTGGTTCAGTTTATCTGAAGAACTCTGACTAATACATGTGGGTCATAAAATGCAACCCAGCATCCTCCTGCCTCTTCCTTTCTGGCTGTATACTTCTGAAAACAATGTCAGTCACTGGATTTGTGGGAGCTGTAGCTGACTCAGTCACCAGCCTCCATCAGAATCTGTCACTTGAAGCCTCAGACATCGTGGAACAGAGAACAGTCATCCTTGGTGTGTGGTCCTACCCAACAGAGGCCAAATTACAGATGAGTAAGTATTGAGTTCCAAGTCTTGCTTCAGTTGGATTTTCTTTTTGAGCTTGTTGCTCACTCAGCTGCCCAGGCTGATCTTGAATTCACAGCAATTCTCCTGCCTCAACCTCTCCAGTACTGAAATTACAAGTGTAATACCCCACCTGTCTTGAACTTGTGGTAAGTCAGTCAGAGGAGGGTCCAAACCATATCACTCTGGCTTGGACAGATATCAGTTTCCTTCTCCACTGCAGGGGTCTAGCCCCCAACATCTTGAGGGAAACAGAAAGGCCAACCTTGAGGGAGAAGATGGCCTGGCATTGCTGGCTGCCTCCTAGATCTTTTCAAATGAGGAGGTTGAAAAAGGCCACCTCTGGCTAATGTAACAAGGGACCAAAAGGCAATATTGTGAGTGAAGACCTCGGACTGGGAATTTCCTTCACACTTCAGTCTAGGACGCTGGCTCAGGACAAAAATAATAATTCTGGCCAGTGGTTGTTTCCAGAGACATTGCTCACTATGACAGTGACATGTCTTCAAAACAGAACAACCTGGAGGGGACCTGCAGGCATCTCAGCCCAAAGGTGGAAAACACTTTATGTAATGTACGGATAAAGAAGATGCCAAGAGGCAGAGGAGAGCTTGCTCTGGGCTAGGAACCAGACTGAGCCTTTTATATATATCATTTCACGGAACTCTCCAAACCTCTGAAGCGGGGACAGGATGAACTCCACCACACAGATGAAACAGCCTTGGCCTTCAATGCTGGTCCAAGTTCAGTGGGTTTCAAAGCCGGTGGTTCTCCTGCCTACCTCAGCCCTGTCCCACACTCAAAGGCAGAGGGATGTGCTTACACGAATGTATGTCTATGATTCCCCAGATACAAAGACCTGTTCCCACTCAGCCACAGCACAACCACCACAGTACGAAATTGACGCCACCTCAAACATACCCTCTAGCCCATAAACCCATTCACATGTCACTGTTCATACAGTCCCAACATTCCACCTGGGATCTCAGGCTGGGGTCTGCAGCTAGCTGCAGTGGCCTTTGGTCTCCTTCAGTTAGAACAGCCCCTCAGGCCTTCCTGTCTTTCATGACCTTGGCATTCTGCAGAGCAGGGGGATGTGCCCCAGTTTGAATCCATCTGATAGATTCCTCATGATTTTTGTATTTTTGGCAGGAATGCTACAGAAGCGATGCTGCAGTTTGTCTTGCGGATGTGTCAGGTTCTGAGGCTTGTGACAAGGATCATTACTGGTAGATGCTGAGGGACTTTTAACCAAGCACTTGGGATTGCATATTGAGAAAGAAAAGTACAACTGCTAGGAATTCTGTCCCTCAACAAATCCTTAAAGACTATGGATAGCGGTCCAGCTCCACAGAGGACAGAGGCCAGTGTGCAAGGGGAGTCACCGTTTGCTCTGGGCAGAAAGGCCCGAGTTTTGTAGCCTTTTCCCGGGAGTGGCCTTGAGTGGTTGGAATGAATTCCTCAGTAAGCCACTCAGAGAGGAGGGAAGACCTCACACAGTCTTCTCAAATAGACAGAGAGCAAGGAGCTGGGTAGTGGGTAAAAAGGGGTGCCTGGCCCAGCCTAGACACAGGGGAGTGTGGGGTGAAGAGGTGCCTTGGTCCTGCCTCAACGAGATGATGGGACAGACTTAGTAGACATCCTAGGGGAGGCTTTACCATCTCTGAGGAGCAAATGAAAGGTGGGTGTAGGAGTGGCGGGGAGGGGAAAGAAAGAAGGGAGGGGGAACAGGAATTGGAATGTAAAAACTAAATTAATAATAATTTAAAAAAAAAGGATGCAGCAAACACATCAAAGGCCAACAATAGAGAATGATGGAAGAAAACGGAGGTGTCTACACAGGCAGCAAGTCCGAGCAAGTGCTCCAAGCCAGCCTGTAACTGACTCAAAACCCAAACTAAGCGTCAACAACAACAAAGTTTAACAGAAACACAAAACTGTTATATTTAGCCTTTAACGGCCGAGCTATCCCTCTAGCCCCTGAAACACAAAACTGAGCAGCTCACAATTCTTGTTTTAAAAGTTGTGAAGTCGGGCGTTGGTGGCACACACCTTTAATCCCAGCACTCGGGAGGCAGAGGCAGGCGCATCTCTGTGAGTTCGAGGTCAGCCTGGTCTCCAGAGCGAGTGCCAGGATAGGCTCCAAAACTACACAGAGAAACCCAGAAACCCTGTCTCAAAAAAAAAAAAAAAAAAAAAAAAAAAAAAGAGAGAGAGAGAGAGAGAAAGCCATGCAGTGGTGGTGCTCGCCTTTAATCCCTGCACTCAGGAGGCAGAGGCAGGCGGATCTCTGTGAGTTCGAAGCCAGCCTGGTCTACAGATTAAGTTCCAGAACAGCCAAAGCTACACAGACAAGCCCTGTCTTGAAAACAAAAACAAACAAAAAAAGTTGTGGCAAAATACCAGGAGTGGTGGCCCATGTCTGAAATCCCAGTGCTCAGGTAGCATCCTGGAGGCTCAACAGGAGCCCCAAGCCAGCTCAGAATAAACAAAAATACATAAAATTGTGGTTAAAAACAATCTAGCAGAGCATTTATTATTTTAATCATTCATAGGTGCACCACTCACAGTCATTAAATGTGTTCACCATGTTTTGTAACCATTACCTTTACAGCTACATAAAACCTTTTTATTATCCCCCCAAAAGCGATTCCATACCTATTAGAGGATCCCTGCCCCCGCCACTTGTCTCCAATATCTGGTGACCCCTCCCCATCCTGCCACTCTGAGCTGATGCTTGAAGCCGATCATCATGTCCCACTCATAGACAAGAGCAGAGAGAAATGCTCAGCCCCATCTCTACACTTACACAGTCCAGGGCCCAAATCTGGGACAGGGATGCTCAGGATGGGTGGGTCTTCCTGATTTAAATAACATAATGAAAACAATCCTGGCAGAAAGTGCCACAGGCCGACCTGATCTGCTGCTCTGAGACTCTCTTCCAAGTGATTTGAGATTGTCAAGGCCCTAATGAAAAGTAGCCATCACAGCTGCTGTAGATGCCTGAGTCTTCACCGTTGGTTTCCTAGTCTACCCATGGATACACAGAAGTCCTGCTAGCTCTCTGGTTGCCTTGTGGGGAGGCGGCTCTGCTTTGGGGGTTTTATTTGTTTTGCTTTTACTTTAAATATTTTATTTTTATTTGTGTGTCTGACTGTCTGTCTGTCTGTCTGTCTGTCTGTGTGAATTTAGGCCCTGTGTGTGCAGGTGCCCTCAGAGGCCAGAGAGAATCAAAATTCCCTGGAGCTGGGGTTACAGGGAGTTGTAAGCTGTGGGATGAGGGTGCTGGGAACTGAACTTAGGTTCTTTCTGTCCTGTGTTTAATCAGCTGATTCAATTCGTCTGGAAGGAAAGCTCATTCGGTTAACACCTTCCACAGGAAACTTCCTCTGCAGGGGCTTCTATTTTCACTCATCAGCCACGCTGCCTTTCTAGGCAGAACACTTCACACAGGCCTTACTGTTATACTTTTGCTTAAATTAGAAAAAGGCGCAAGATGAGACATGAGAACAAGAGATACATTAACCATAGTTTATTATAGGGTGGAAGAATGAGAGGGGAGAGAGAGAGAAATAGAAGAACAGAGCAGGGCAGAGCAGTATAAGAGAAAAGAGAGAGTGGGCAGGGGTCTGTCTTTTAAAGGGACCCTCTATACCTGCGTGCAGACTTAGTTCCCATGGAACCCTGGGCTGACCAGGGTACTGCCTGAGTGGATTCTTCCATTTAACAGGGGGCAGGCTAGCATAATGCCTGAACCTTTCACTTAACAATACTTGAACCAAGTAGAAGCTGCACCCTGACCTCAACACCATAGCATTTCTCCTGGACTCAGGCCTCCGACCAGGCAGCCCATTGACGTTTCTAGGGCAACCTTCTCAATTTCCAGAAGAGAAAAGTAAGACTCTAAGAGGTTAAATGCCCTGTAGAAAAACATGAATGTGTACATAGCAGTCTGAAATTCAAACTACTAAGTCCTCTACCAGCCCTAGAGTCCTACACCCCTCATTTCCATAGCATGCTCCCCTTGGTCTCAGCTGTGCATATTGTGTTTGGGTAACACTGGCCCCATAAAGACATTTTTTTTCTCTCATTTTTTGAAGTATTTCAGTAGTTAGTTGGCCGTATGCTCCCACAAGCTGAAAGTACTATTCTGTGCTATTGAACAAGGGGGGCCATTAGCCGGGATGTGGAGAAATGTGCACAAATCCTCTGCTGAAGCTATGTGGCTTATTTTAGAAACTCTCCCATCAGTTCTTCACTTGGAGAGAGACGTTGCTTCCTGGTTTCCCTGGATGATTTTTTAAATTTCTGTTTAAGGATTAGTACCCAGATGAGTCTACGTGATTACAGCACAGCCAGGCTTGGGTGGGGGATGAGCACAGTTTGGCCGGCCTGTGAAGGAAACTGCATTCTGCAAAGATTTACCCAGCTCTGTCTGGGTCATCACAGACTGAGGCAGATCTACAGGCTGTTACAGCTGGCCTTCTGTTTTGATGTTAACATCAATACAGCTGCTGGCTTTCATTTGCTTAGTTGCCTTTTTTTTTTCTTTCTTCTTTCTTTCTTTTGAGATAGGGTTTCTCTGTGTAGCCCCGACTTTCCTAGAACTCTTCTTTGTACAAGCTGGCCTTGAACTCATAGAGATCCCCTTGCCTCTGCCTCCCCAGTGCTTGGATTAA